AAAGACAAAATATTTGTATAGTTGTGAATCGTCTGCAAAAAATTGAATATTACAGTACTTTACAATTTTGTTTAAGTCGGATATATATATATATATATATATATATATATCATAGAAACAGACGCGGTTCAATTACTGAGCTTTGGGGTACTCGCGAGGAAGTCAAACATTCAGGCAAAGAGTCTGTATCAAAAACTACTCTTAATTTCAATGAGTTATTACAACAACCGTTTCATTTAGCCAGCAAAAGTTCGTGGTTTATCGTATAAAATGCCTTGGCGAAACCTAAAAGAACTAAGGGTTGTTGGCTAGCTCCGATAATGCTGCAGCGGTGTTATTATATATATATATATATATATACTCGTACTAGCTTATAAAATCACTGATTTGGATATACATTTCTTTTTCTAGTCATTTTGAGAGAAAAGGTAAAAAACTAATAGGTCCTAAAGCTGTGTATGTAGTTGGATTGTTAGTTTTTTTTAAGGGTTAAGGGAATTCGGAAACACTTTTTTCTAAACGGGTATTCATTATATGTGGGGTGTAGATGGATATTATCGGAAAACATAACTTAACCATTCTAAGGGATACACCACCAGGCTTCATAGCTGATGGGATTAAAATCGAACTCACGTTCGTAAAAACAAATTTTTCTATAATGTTCAATTTTACGTAGAGTATAAGGCCCAGTGTTTTTATTGAAAATCAAACAAAAGTAATTGTCTATCTCCAACGATCTTTTAAGCTGACATAAATTTCATTGTTTTTGAATTTTTGCACACGCAGTATGCTTTTCTTTCATGTCTGACTTTGGCCAAACTTTTACTCCGCAGCTGTGTATAATTGATCTAAGACTCCTGAGATTTATCAATTTTGAATTGAGTTAAAGCTCTATTTCTGCTACCACAAATGCATAAGGCCTTAACATCCGTGGGAACCATGGTGCTTTAGAGAGGCATCCAGGAAACGGGTACGTCACAGGACTCTAGCGAGAGATGGTACCTACCTTCAACAATCTGAGACCGTCCACCACCTATGTAGAATCACAACATAGCAACTAGAAGACACGTAGTGTTAACCACTACACCTCCGCGCTGCCCTATTTGGATTATTCTCATTAAACTTACGTAAATTTCAACATATTCTTATTTAATCGGCTAGGGAATACATAGTAAAAAAAACCACATATTGCAGACTGTCAGAATGGCTGTATACCTAACAACATTGAAAATCGAAAAGAATTGGAGGCAAACCAAATTTTTTAATGGATACTGAGAAGGTCCAGCTGAAGCTTTAACTGCGACTCCACTGAAGTTTTGAATCTGAAAGTTCTTAGGAAAGGTCTTTACTTTCACGTTATTTTATGTTCTCATTATATTTCCACGAGATTCTAGTAGGCCCCAAAGACTACGAGATGAATATCAAATTAATTGAATTATTTTCACAATGATGGCAGTAATTATGTTCCATTATATATTTATATATTATATTATTTCCAATATCAGGTATTCATCCTATGATGCTGTTTGCCGAAAATAATTTTTTGTATTTCCCACCATCCAATATCATAAAATAACTAGAATTGTTGATGTGCTATACAGTTAATAAATATTTACATTCGTTTTTTTTTCATACCTAATTTATTCTTATTTATTAAAAATAACTGACCCTTCACATCGCAAATCAGATGGTATTTCTGCCCCTCTAAACGTGAATACTCCCAGTACTACTACTACTTGAGTAGCTCTCGAGAGAAAAAAATTTACGCCGATTGGCTTGTCACTTTGGTAAGCAATGGTAGGCAAATGAGCAAGAAGTATGCACTAAGATCCGTATCGACAGCCGTTCCTACAATTGTAGGATGCTTTTATGGTCGCTTTGATATTTAGAGTCTTTTCGCTCCTTCAGAAAGACTGGGGTCTCCCTAGATTTCTTCTGTTCCGTGTCAGTGTCAGCGCTCTCCTATTGTGAGGGTGTTTTCTTTTTGAATCGTAGGAAATTCCAGCTGATATAACAGATGATATAAATCAAAAGCATGAACAATTTGATGTAAATAGATGTTTATAACATAACCTCAAAGTGCTGACAGGAAACAGTATAAATCTAGGAAAGTCAAAGAAGCCATAAAGGAGCTAACAATTGTAGGAACAACTGACGATATGGCCCTAAAACTACACAACTTTGGCGACAAACAATGCAGTGTAGCCTTATGGCTCCTATTCAAATTTGTTGGCGTATTCTTGTCCCCGGCGCTCATTTTGCAACAGGTTGCAGACTAACTACAAATTTCTGGTACACACATGCCGGCACATGACGCGACATGTTGTTAGTGGAAACGTACCTTTACAGTCGCCAGCAGCCAAATCAAAATAAGCACCATTTCTTTTGATGTGACGAATCTTCACATATCCAGCATCTGCTCAAATACCCACATACACCTATTGTGATGCCATTTCAGAAACATTATGCCTAATTACAGCTGTAAGTAGGACAGACCAGTGATGTATGCGATGCCTTTGTGAGGAGCGATCCGGATTTGAAAATTTGTCATGAATGGACCAGATACAATAGATCATTGTGTATTTTGTGGTTGGTATTCAATCCATTTGGCATATCGGAAGATTTATAGCTTTGGCCACATCCATTGTGCCTAAGGTGGTAGGCGTGTTTCTTTATTTCTGTAGGATTATGCGAAACAGTCTCCGTAGTTTGTTAAAAAAATGGCATCAGGTAGAGTGAATCTCGACTTCCGAATAAACGGATATTGAATCTACGACGGCTATGAGAATCTTTGCACCGTGGCAAAAGACTGTAAAAGAGAATATCAGTGAAAATCATTAATGTTGATTTAAAATTGAAATTATTAACCATTTATAAAGGGTGGGCCATCTGTTGGTTACTTTTTCAAATTGAAATTAAAACTACACTATTCAATAATATGTAACACTCGATACTTCATTCAAAAGAATACACCTTCCGATTATTTATGAAAAACAATTTCAGTTAAATGGCTGCCGCGGCTGGCCTGACAGTAGTCCTTCCTCTTAACCCAATCTTGAAGCACATTTTCGATAGTTTGTGGGTCTATTTCATCTATAGCTCGACGGATACTTTCTTTAAGAACACCAATTGCTTGAGGATCCTTAGTATAACAGCGGTCCTTAACAGTACCCCATAGGAAGTAATCGATGGGCATCAAATCACAGTACCCCATAGAAAGTAATCCATGGGCATCAAATCACAGCTGCGGGCTGGCCTATGAGCGTCTCCAAAACGGCTGATATGGCGGTGACCGAACTTGTAAAAGATCGATTGTTTCACGGCTGGTGTGCCATGTTGCGCCATACTGCTGGAACCAGAGATTGCTCACAGCCACAATATATCTGTCAATATGCTGAGCATGGAAGTGTTACCAACTGTTAAAATAATATGTACTTAAAAAATCCGACTGATGGCCTACCCTTTAGTATCTGAGTCCACTTTACATGGTGCTAAGTATCCGGGTAACTTTTGTACGTCCTAGTATAGTTACACCGCCGCATTCCGAAGACGCTGCGGCTGGGGCTCCGTCGGCGTTGCTGAATTCAGATCAGATGCCACGCAGGTAAATGATATCGCGGTGTTGCTGGAGCTATTATGCGAAATATGTGTCTAACAGGTGAGTAATACTAGAGAGATCATACATTCAATAAAAAAAACACAATTTTTAACATCTACATTCTCAATTTCGAAATTTTTCGCGACTGCAATACTTGCACAGCCCCGTGAGTGGCGTGGGAAGTAAGACTAACTTCAGTGTCTGGTTCAGGCAGAGCCCGGTAGCCTTTCAGTTCCACCATATAGGCATATCTTCTGTGACGACTACTCAGGATTTTTTAGCTCAGTTTCTCAAACATAAAAATGTTTCGAATATTGAATATAACGCACACAATGAATAAAACATTCGACATGCTTCAGAAATGGTGGGAATGTGATTTCCTTTTTCCATCTGAAACTAGCTCTTAGGAATAACTACAAGGTAGGTTGGGAATCATCTTTCTTTGGACGAGTGGTACCATTTTTTTAAACCGAAGCATGCCCGTAGGCAGAGGCCTTAATATCAGGGCACTTAAGTCAGTACTTCAGGTTAGGTATTATCTGGGCTTCGTACAGAGTACGATGTTAGGTGGAGAAAGATACTTCTTAGCCCTAAACAAATAGATTATCTTTTCCCAGTAGCTGCCGCTATTGAATTAGATGTGTTCGTTCCAGACCAACTCTTCGGTGATTTGGATTCTGACGAGCCGAAATGAATGGCTATTTGAAAGAACTATCGAAAGCGGATGAACACTAGGGCGCTTCTCCTTTTTAAAGGTGTTTTGTGTTTTAGAAGCAGTAAACTGTCCCAGATTGCTGCATCTCAAAGCAGTGATAATCTCCAGGTCTCTCGTCAGAAAGGAAGTCGGTGCAAGTCTTCTTCCCTCCAGCTCACCGGCAGAGATCAGTTTGTCAGGCTGCATTCCTGTATGCAGAGTGCTATCAGCAGCAAAACTGTGGATTAGATTGATCCCTGAGCAACACCCTTGAAGGAGTTACTGCAATTCCACTCGGCAACATGGCTATAACGATGCAAATTTGTGAACGCCCAAATACAGCATGAAGTTCGGAATCTTCTTGGGGAACACGTTCATCAGTGCTAGTACATAGTAGGCATTTTAACAGTTGCCTTTTATTGCCGATGAATCATATATTTTTTTTTTGTTATTGTTGTTGTTGTACAGATTTAATTTGAAGTAATGCAGCAAGAACTTGAGAATAAAGAAACAAAAGCCGATAGTCTAATTTAATAATCTCCGTAGCATATTATTTGTATTCATAGCATATTATTAAATCAATTTTATTGACAAAAATGACTAGACCGGCCCATTGGCCATTTCCGAAGATAGGGCTTGTTTTTAACGGTGTATTTAGATATATTTTTCTCACGTAATTCATAACCAAAATAAATAACACGCAGACATTTACCTATTATCATGTTTATTTGAAATAACAAACATAACACATGAATACCACGGAATAACTATAATTTTTAATTTGGATCCGTTGTTTTTCTTCTGTAGGCGTTTGGCTGCCTGTATATAGTAGTCAGCATCTTCCATGTCACTGAACAATTTGGGAACTGAAAGCAAATATTTCTCAATCAATTAAACATAATTCATCCTGATCTATTTTATAATCCAAACATTTCAGTTATTAAATTTAACGTACAGTAATCGCACTCCATTTTGATCATCTTTACAGTTTCTACCACTGAGTTTATAAATGTGTAGTCAATTTTTCATGCATTCAGGTAATTAATTGAAGAATTTTCTCACCCTGATATGGACAATTTCTTCTTGTGTTGCCTAGTAATTTCCCTGGTAAAAATAAATAAGTAAATAAATAAATGTACATCTATAAATTGATATCACCTTCTGAATTAAAAACTATTTGTGTTGCATAAATATTATTACTCACCCATTGGACTATGTATTTCTTTTATAGTCAGATGAATTTATTATTGTTTTCTGAAATCCTCCAATCTCAAAGGTTGATGTCGCTGATGTCGAGGTACTATTCTGCGAACCGAACTACTTGCACACCTCGCTTGTTCCGCATAGTTGCCAATTTTATTTCAGAATTTCCTTATGTTTATTAATCAATCAAATTTATATGCAGATATGACAGTGTTGCCACATTTATTCACGATATTTCCTTGAATTTATATTAATAATAATAAATTAAATTTTGGGAGGGGACTTCCTTCCACTATCAGAGGGCCATCTTGTTCTGTTCCGCTAGTGCCAGAAGACCTGAAATTTTCCTCCTTTTTTGCCTGGGGCATCTTCGTTGGATTGTGGAAGAACATTTCATAGATAATTTCCTGGGTCATTCCTGTTGTGAGTGCGTAGCATCTTTTTTTTTGTCTACCCTTGGACCCGAGAAATTCTACAATTTATAGGATCTTATTGTCTTCAGCCGCACTTTTCGCCAGATGGAACCACGTGAAAAACCCTACCCGACATCATCTAGGTGAGCATTATTTTATTTTGAGTAAATGAAAATTTAGGCAAAAGACCATATTTCTCATATATATGAGTTTTCTCAAAAGTGAATAATTATTCTTGTTCTATAATGGAGTTAACTTAGTATTCTGTGGAGCATGCGTTGGTTTTATGATATTTTCCGAGTAACTGAAAGTGTAATTTTAAATCTGTTATACCGGGTGGTCAAAATAATTAATATTCAATATTTGAAGATTACTTTTCCAATTACGTTAATTGTTGTTAACTAAATTTGAATTTTTTTTACATTCTACCGCCGAATACTATTATTCTTCCTAGGGTTTTTTATTTTGGGGGAATCTTCGCTACTGGAGATCCATTGACACGTTTTCTACCAGGGACCTCTTTCCGAACAGAGACCATTTTTCCACCAAAGGGATTCTTACGTCATCGGTTTTGAAGCCTTCCTCGCCCATTTTAAATTAGTTAGTCAATGAGCTTTCGCATTAAGGGAGATCTCCTAGTCTGGCTGGCTTAAATTTTTGTTGTTAGCCGTTGGTAGATGTAATAAAATGTATTGATGTTACTTTTGGCAATTATTTACCCACACAGAAAATCTATTGTTTGTATGTATTTTTGTTTTTGTTTCTTGGGGTTTTGGGCTAAAGAGTGCCTTTTAACACCAAGGCGTCTTCCAGTTTTGGCGGATAAAAGCTGGTGGCGCCCCTAAAGAATACCCCTACTCTCCGGTGTACCTGAGCATAGGGCCTAATTTGCCAACGCTAAACCACGGCTTTAGCCTCGGTAACCCACTAGTTTTTTTTAATCATCCATTGCCTCAAATGAGAGAAATAGCTTTATCTTAAAATTAAAAAGTGATCTCAATTAAAAAAAAAAAAGGGCGTGGCATGATTCACGTGCAAGTTATTACGCATTGTAAGGTATTCCGTATCATATTTTGAGAAAATAACAAAGAGGTCTAATAAAGAATCGATTAGATTCTGCTTTCCACATGAACATACAGAATGTGAGAAGGGTGAGACACACTAGCGTGCGTGCACTTAGTTTCACAAGTTGTAATCTCTCCACACATAAATCTTTAGAACAAAGTAATAACATCCTCCTCGCATGTCTTAATTGAACAAGTCACGCTTGTGTCTGTTTGCCACGAAACGGAGGATTTTACAACAGAATTCTTACACCTGAATGCTTTATTACTGACATTTTATCTATCCTCGAAGTGTGAGAGAATATGGATACTCTTGGCTGGTGAGAGTTACTAGCTTGGAATTACTTTTTTATTATCAGTTTCCGTACGTACAGGCAAATTTGGTACGTTATTTATTTAAGTAAACGGTAATCAGTATATTTTATTATATTATTTTGTTACAGTTTCATTTTATAGTCGACTAAAAATCAACTACCTCTTGATAAAGTAAATTACTACAACGTTTTTCTTATTTAGAGGAATAATTTTATAGCCGTTCTTAAAAATATCAAATTTTATTTTTAGTAATAAAACACCTCTCCTGGTCTAATAATTTTGTGGTAGAGAATCGTACCCTACTCTCCATCCCGTTCAAGGTCATTTTTTATAATCTCTGTCGACTATTTCCGGTGCTCTGGTGTAGGAATTCTGTGGTCCACCTTCTGATTTTGTGAATAGTTTCACCCGCAGGGTTGCGAGTTTATAAGGTGGTGAGGTTGTGATTAGATTGGTGTTTTTTTCAACGAAGCCTCTCGGGCATTTACCGTGGACATAACCACACTCAACTATCGATTTGAACCGTCTGCAGGGATAATCTGAGGCGAATTTGGGTAGGACTCACGCCTTTGAGGATCAATTCCTCATTTTTGTGAACCCTCATTGTTCGAGAGTTCTACCCTTCGGTTCTACCTACGGGTTTTATGTTCGGGTTCCACCTTCGGGTTCTACCATCTGGGACTTCCTGCTCTCGGTTGCCTACCGGTAATAGCCTAGCACCTGCATAGGTGGTTTTTATTTTTTTATTTTAATATTCCAGCTCCAGATACCCACCAGTTGTTACTTGTTATATATTTTCCTAGTCTTTGAAACTAGGTGGCGCCCAAACCGCAACTGCTTCGCATCCAAAAGCCTCACCCTGAAGTCTCATATCCACCGACCAACCTTTTTTGGCGGGATAACAATTTTTCAGAAAAAAATGTTGTAGGCAATTATAAACGCATTTATACTAAGTGACATATAAATCCGAACACCCAGTTTAAATGGTTTTATTTTAATAAAATTTTGTATAAGTACTTAATGAAGCATAATAAGTAAATGATAAAAATTTCAAAGTGATTGCACTGCTTTAAAGCCCTTTGACCTTTAATAATGTGTGGATGCACCCTGATGTGCTACGCATTCTCCAACGCGCCTAGTCATGCTTCTGATCAGGTGGTCAATGTCCTCCTGTGGTATCTCATTCCAGGCAACCACCAACTCCTCTCGAAGTGCTTCCAGAGTCTGAGGAGGACGTTGCAAATTGAGCAATCTCCTACCCATCATATCCCACACGTGCTCAATTGGGGGTAAGTCGGGAGATCTTGGTGGCCATGGTAACAATGTGACATCATTACGTTGAAAGAAGTCTATTGTGACTCTTGCAACATGTGGTCGGGCATTATCTTGTTGGATCTGCCAGGGTGTCAAGATAGGGTAAAAGATGGGGTTCTAGAACTTCGTGGATATAACGCTGCGCGTTCATGTTACCTCTGATGAAGATTAAAGGTGACCTGGAACCATAAGCTATAGCACCCCTAACCATAACTCCAACAGTATGATGAATATGTCTTTCAACAAAAAAGTGTGGATTCCTCCTTTCACCACGTCGCCTTCTAACCCTTACACCGACGTAATCGCCTTGAGTGGTGCAGACAACGGTCACTCTGGGATCAGGAATGGAACAGTATTGTCTTTAGTGACGAGTCTCGATTTTGTTTAGGCATGCACGATGGTCGTGCCAGGGTTAGAAGGCAACAATAGACTTCTTTCAACATAATGATGTCACATTGTTACCATGACCACCAATATCTCCCGACTTATCCCCAATTGAGCACATGTGGGATATGATGGGTAGGAGATTGCTCAATTTGCAACGTCCTCCTCAGACACTAGAAGCACTTCGAGAGGAGTTGGTGGTTGCCTGGAATGAGATACCACAGGAGGACATTGACCACCTGATCAGAAGCATGAGTAGGCGCGCACATTATTAAAGGTCAAAGGGCTTTAAAGTAGTGCAATCATTTTGAAATTTTTATCATTTACTTATTATGCTTCATTAAGCACTTACACAAAATTTTATTAAAATAAAACCATTTAAACTGGGTGTTCGGATTTATATGTCACTTAGTATAATTGTAGTGATTATCTGTTAGTAAAGTACCTAGCCATACTCCAACGGGTGGTTATGAGAAATAAAGTTAATATAAACATGAGTACCAAAGTACTTCTTTTTGATACTGAATCGACCTTGTTCTGAAAAGTTGCTTTTTCGAAAACATCGAAAGAACCGTTTAGCCGACCTGTAGAATATGGACAGGAAAAATACGACATTAAAGCTCAATTCTGCATTGGAAAAATTTAACAGATTTAAATCCGACGATCCAGGTGGGCAGCAAATCGAGCAACAAAATACGATTTTTCCAAAAAGATTTATTTCCAAATAAGTTTTTTTGTATTACACGAATTTTTTTCTCAGATTAACCCAAGTTTTTCCATGTATTTTATAAACCGTAAGAATTTATCTTGCACAAAAGCAATTTCAAATTTATCTAAATTGCTGGACCAGAAACATTTACATCTTGAAAAAAATTATTATTGATATACCACAAATCCAAAGAATTAGCTGCATGTCCTCCAACCCGTGTTTATAACCTCATGATACTAGGGAGTAGCAAGGTATTACAGTTTGGCCGACTAGGTATGTAAAAGAATGCGTAAAGGTCATCTATTACTCTGGAATATACATTTGGATGCGCGTCATCGTTTATAGCAATTACAAATAATATAGGACCAAGGATAGATCCTTGTGGCACATCTACCTGTATATACAATTGATTCTGATATTTTGATATGCCTCAAAGTATAAATCACAGGATCAGTCGCTGTTATGTCTAAAACAATTGATTGGGAGTATTATTTTTGTCGCTCAAGCGCCATTTCACTGTGCCTTCATCAATTTCATTTCACTTTTCAAGGAATCTCCCTTTCAAGTTTGTCCTTATACTTTATTAACCGCTAATAAAGAAGTAGCCGGAAAAATTTATCCTGCACGGAGAACCAACAAGCAAGTTATCTAGGTTACTGGACCAGAAACGTTTACATCATGAAAAAATTATTACTGATATACCACAAAATCAATCCAAAGAATAACAGCTGCAGGTCATTCAACCCATTTTTTAACCTCATGGTACTGATACTTATACAGATCTTCAAATATGTTATTCTCGAATATACGCTCAGTTGTGTGTCATGTCACGAAATCGTTTATAGCAAATACGTACAGTATAGGACCAAGAATAGATCCTTGCGGCACCTCTACCTTTATATGCAATTGATTCTGATATTTTGATATGCGTCA